TAATGGTTCATAATTATTCTTATACAATTTTCCATTTGAAGCAGTTAAATATACTCCCAAATATTTAACCTTTTTTACCATCTGGAAACCTGTAGCTTTGACCAAACTTTCCCTATCCTTAACTGACATATTCTTAGATAATATCTTAGTCTTATAATTGTTGACTTTAAATCCAGAAACATTCCCATACTGTGTTATAAGTTCTAATAAACAATCAATCGCTTGATTCGGTTGTTCCAAAATTAAAACCAAATCATCCGCAAAAGCCCGCAATTTATACTCATTCTTCCTTATCTTTACGCCCTTGACTACCTTTGATTCTCGAATCTGAATCAATAAAATTTCCAACATTAAAACAAATAACAATGGGGATAATGGGCATCCTTGTCTTGTCCCTTTTTCAATATTAAAATTCTCAGTCAGTCCCCCATTTACAACAATTTGTGCAGATTGTTGCTGATATATAGCTTTAAGTGCATGTAAAAAATTGTCCCCAAAATTCATTTTCTCTACCAATGAGAATAAAAATTGCCAATCTAATTGATCAAAGGCTTTTTCAGCGTCCAAAAAAATAAAAGCCACAGGAATCTGATTATTCTTATCCAAATACTCAATTAAGTTTATAATTTGTCTAACATTATATTTCATATATCGCCCTGTTATAAATCCTGCTTGATCACTATGAATCAAGTCCTTCATAACCTGCATTAATCTATTTGCCAAAATTTTTGTAAAAATCTTATAATCAACATTTAATAATGAAATTGGCCTTTAATTCTTAGGCTCTGTAAGATCCTGATCTTCCTTTGGAATCAGTGATATAAAAGCTTTTTTCCAAGAAGGAGGCACTTGTGTACCCAACAAAATACTATTAAAAAGTTCCTTTAATGGCTCCATCATTTCTTCAGATAAAGTCTTATAATACCTCGAGGTCAATCCATCTGTTCCCGGAGACTTTCCAACCTTTAACTGCTTAATAGCTAAACCAATTTCCTCCACAGTAATTAATCTATTCATCCTATTTTGTTGTTCCTCTGAAATTTTAGGAAAGTGCACTGATTGTAAATATTTATCTATATCCACACCCTTTATGTTATCACTTGAATATAATTTTGTATAAAAATCTAAAAAACTCTTTTTAATCAAATTTTGCTGAAAAACCTCAATACCTTTATATTTTACTTTCTCTATAATTCTAGCTTTCTGTTTCTTTCGTAACTGGTAAGCCAACCACCTCCCAGGCCTATTCGCGTTACAAAAAGTATTATGTCTCATATACGACAGATTGGTAGCCACCTGATCTGCCATCAGCATATTAAATTGTTCCTTAAGCTTCTTTATAGATACCTTTAAATTATTATCAGTTGGATTAAGAACAAACTCTTGTTCTTTTAATTTAATCTCTTCTTCTATTTCTCTACGTCTTTGTAACCCTTTTTCCCTAAAAACTTTATTCAATTGAATCAAAATTCCCCTCATATAAGCCTTACTTGCATCCCAAACCATGGACATCGATGTTCCCTTATTCATATTTATAGCAAAAAAGTCCTTTAACTGCTCTTTACATTTTTGTACAAACTCTTCCTGAGTAAACAAATTCTCATTCAATCTCCAGGGTCTTTGTTCCCATCTTCTAGATGTAATTCCATCCACACCGGACTGTGATCTGACAAAGTTCTGGGGAAAATTTTCACCTTCCTCACTCTAGAGAGAAAGTCACTAGTAATAAAAAAAGTCAATTCTTGAAAATGACTGATGTCTATCCGAATAGAAAGTGAAATCTCTATCACTTATATTCCTTTCTCGCCAAATGTCAATGAGCTCCAATTCTTCTTTCAAATCAAAAAAAGTTTTAGGTAATCTAGTTTGGGTAAAAGTTTTAGAAGAGCTCCTTTTGTCTATAGTTGAATCTAAGACCCCATTCCAATCGCCCATCAAAATTACAGATTTATAATCCAACTGAGATATCTTCCCATGCAAAAACTTGTAAAATTGTTTCTGTTGCTGATTAGGAGCATATAATCCAACAATAAGAACTTTTTTACCTTGTAATGATAATTCCACAAAAAGATATCTTCCTTCAGAATCAGTCTCAATTAATTTAGATGAAAAAATTTTCTTCACATAAATTACCACTCCCCCTTTTTTCCCTGGAGCTGGAGCAATAAACGAGGAGTCATCAAAAGTTTAGAGTCCTTTAAAGTTATATGAGTCTCTTGCAAACATATCAAATCATTGTTGTGTTTCAAATAATGAAAAACCTTTCTTCGTTTCTGTGGCACATTTAAGCCATTAACATTCCAGGTCAAGAACCTGGCCATCTCCACCGGCCTGGAGCCTCTGGAGCATAGCCTGCAGATCCACTGTCAAAGATCTTTTTGGTCTTGCCCCTCCCACAGGCTCTGTAATAACCATGCCTTCAACTTTATCACCACTCTTCTGCTGCTGCTCTTTTTCTTTACGTTTATGGGCAGCTCGTGTCATCCTTTGCTCTTTTATCTCAAGATTCTGTACAGCTTGTTCCATGACCATCATTGATGAGGCTCCTGCCATAACAGGCTCTTCCATTATCCTTGTTTGTGGGGGTGAGGACAATCTTGCCTTTAAGATAGAGTGATAAAAATCTCTTGCCTTCAAAACTGTAGTTAATCTGTGACGTATCCCCTCATAATTCACTATTATTCCTCTTGGAATCTCCCATCTAAACTGAATTTGACGATGTTTTAACTCATCAGACAGAAAAGCAAAATCTTTTCTGCCTCTTAAAATTTTGAGAGGTATTTCTTTTAAAATTATCACATCTTGAGCTGCAATCTGAAACTTCTGTTTATAAAAAGCCTGTATAATTTCATTACGAATAAATCTTCTGGAAAAATAGATGACCACGTCTCTTGGTATGTTTCTCTGTCTAGCAACCCGTGAGTTGACTCCAAAATTTTTTTCTATCTCATTCCCAATTATTTCAGGCCTCCAGCCCAGATTAAGAGCAATATCTTTCACAGTAAGCATCTTTAAGTCCTCCTGAAGATTTTCTCTCAACTCCCTGATACGCAATGCATATTCCATCTCTCTATATTGTGAAATAATTTGTTCATCCTGTGTAATTTCTATCTTATTCTCTACCTCCTCCATCCTAGATTCCATTCTTATTGCATTTTCAGTAATCTCCTCGATCTTGTCGTCAATTCTCTCTATATGCAGAGCAAGGCCCTGGAAAGCAAAAAGTATATGCTCCCTTACTTGCTTATTTTTTTTCTCCAATAGTTCTTCTGTGACAGCCCTCTCTGCAATTATAAGATCTTTTACTTCCTCCTTAATGTCCAAAGCATGCATTTTTAAAGCTTCTTGTAAATCTTTAAGAGAAATTGCATGAGGAGGAGAGGGTGGAGGTGATTTTGGTTTCTGAGAAACAGGCTGGGTCATTGGGGAAGAGATAGTGGCTTTAGGAGGAGGAGGCAAGCGTTTTGAAGCCATTTTCTTAAGTTCCAAGAAGAAAGATTCTTGTTTGAAAAAAAAAATCACAGTTCTTTTGAATATTCTTTAAAAAAAAATTACAGAGAAAAAAGAAAAGAAAAAGAATAAAAAGCCAAGTTCTTGCTTCTATATTTAAAGCATTAATCTGTATCCAGATTTTAGCTTTATAATGAAAATCAAACAAGAAAGACAATCGCCATTTTGCCATTCACTTTCCCTTTCTTCAAGAGGGAAAGTGAACAGTAAAAAAGAAAGAAGAGGATACTTGCTGGAGTTAAAGACACCATCAAACGTAAGCACAGTTTCTCCTGATCTGCTCCGTTTGCTTTTAAGTACTCACAAGCGGCTAAAAGAAGCAGATGTGGAAGCGGCAGCTTGCTTCATCCCAGAACTTCGGGACGAAGGCTCCCTGGAACGCAGAGATTGCTCAGGCTCCGAAGGAGCTCTACCCTCCGATCCCCAAAATTATAGGGATCCAGGGGAGCTCTTACCTCTACCTGAGAGCTCTCCTCCTCCCTTTTGCCCAGGGAGGAGATTCAAGCCGCGGGACAGCTGATTGTCAAAGTCCCGCAGCTTTTACACGGATCAGGAACGGGCGGCTTTATAAAAAGCCGCCATCGTCGTCGCTGAAACCACCAGAAGTCAATGGTTGCTGTTTTTGAGACATTTCAACTGTAAAATGGAACTCTGATTTGATATTACAGATTTTTAAGGGATGGCAAATACTGAATATTCCGAATATTCTTTTGAGAATTTAAAGCAAAGGCTTAAAATATGTTCTATTTTTTAAAAATAATTTTTAAGTATTTAGTTACAAATGAGATTTTTCTAAAACAACCATTAATGTGTTCTTGAGAGAGAAGAAACCTGAGGTTTCCATTGAAATTACAGTCTTAGATTTATTGTCACTGGACATATACAGAAAAATCCACAGTGTTCAGAAAACAGGTCCTATTCTAGAGCCCTGACTGATGGGGTTAAAAGGGAGAATAGGTGGATTAAATGAGTGCTATTAGCATTATATTTGACTTGTTTGGAGATATTTATTTTTGACTGTTTGCTGATACTGTTTAATTGTAAAATATATTTCATTAAAAAATCCTTTCCACTAAATATCAGAATATTTGAAAAATGACATAGAAGGAAATTGCTCTGAATTCTTAAACTTTTCTGACTGTTTTAGGAATACGATAGCCTTACATAAGGTCTGGATATTAATTTTCTCCTGCCAATAGTTCCCAGTGCATTAACTCTGTGTCAATGTCATGTAAGATAGGTAGATAACAAGAACTGTTCCTTTCCCACAGAGAGAAGTTGCTTAATCAAAACTTGAATTTTAGGCAGAGTATTTTTTAACATTGCTTCTTTTTTTGTGGTTTGAAATATTTCCAAAGTCATCTTTTCTTGTGAATTTTCCACTTCTGTATTGTCAAACTTGCTTAAGGTTTTTCAAAAAGCGCATTACAGTGAAAACCGTTTTAAAATAATGCTTCCATCTCTTAAAGCTGTTTTGTTTCTCTTTTCAGCTATTTGCCATGGTTTGAGATGTACTACAAACTTTTAAATACACTGGCAGAATATTTAGCTAAAGAACAGGTAATTTTGTTGTTATTAAATAGAAATGATGTTGTGAAGAATTGCTAATCATAAATGATCTTAATGTAGTCCTCTTTTTTAAAAAAAATCAAGAATTACATATATTTTAGGCTACTGTTTTATTACTTTTCTTTAAAATAAATAGTTTAATAATTTAAAAGCATTTTAAGTAGAGAAATTAAATGACATTTCTATCCTAGAAATTATACATCAGGATTAAAACCTGGAATATAACTTGAGTGTGGACATTTTTAATACTTTGCTCAAGATATTAAATAAATTTGCTAAAGTAATGCAAGAAAGTGCCACAATTTATATTGATAATGTTATTCAGTGATTGTCATTTGTTTATGCTTAGTTTGACCTACTATAAGACATATTATGTTATTGAGAAGAAACCAGTTATTTGTGAAACTGGAAATAGATGAACTGTAAAGATAGAAATCAAGACTTCAGAAGTTTGGGTACTCCATCACTGGAGGATTTTAAGAAGAGACTGGAAGCCATTTGTCTGAAATGGTATAGGGTTTCCTGCCTGAGCAGGGGGTTGGACTAGAAGACCTCCAATGTCCCTTCCAATTCTGATATTCTATGTTCTAGTGATAAAATTGCCTCTTCCTCGTTCCATTAGTAATCAATCTGAACTATAGCTATGGTTGCAGAAATTGTAGAAAAACATAATAAGACATACATCCATACATGGATAATATGAATATGGATTTGAATCTCACATTGTGAAAACGTAACACTTGTTTAAAGTTGGGATTTGAGTGTGAGATTCCATGATTTTCATGTTTCATTCTGACATAGAACACATCTCAATATTGATAGGCAAGATTTGATATCTATAGAAGTTTTCAATGATTCCCATTCTTCAGTTTCTAAATACAGTATATTTCAATATTACAAATCAAGGTGCTTAAAATAAAATTAACTGGATTTCACACTAGTGCAAAACCTATAATAATTCTGAACATTTCATATCCCATAAGTTACCAATATCCATAAAGATTGAATTTTCCTAGTTACTCATATTTGGCTGTATTTGAATTAGCTTATATAGCACTCTTTCTAAAATGGCTTTGGATATAGAATCAATTCCTGGAAGGGCTACACTTTTTAAAATAATTTAGATAGCTTAGGATAATTTTTGGAAATATGAATCTGCTTTGAATACTATGATCAGCTTTAGAAACTGTAATCCTAGGGCCATTATCAAATTGTTTTAGATTGATGAGCATCATTCAGGAATGTATTGGTATTTGTTGAATTACCTGTCAAAAGAGACATGTTGGACCCTATAGTAATTTGTAGAAAAGCTGTTTTTTAAAATGAGACTATGGACTTGATATTTAATATCAGATAATATTTTCATTTCATTTCTGCTTTATCTAGATTATAGTGGTAGGCTAAAAGCTTTTAAATTAGGCACATAGAGTGCTTATTATATTTTATAGTTTTCATTGATTTTGTAGTGCTTAGAAAGCTTTGTCCTAGAAATAAAGAAATCTGGCATGTGCTATACATATTTTACTTTATTTTGCCTTGGTTTTTATGTGGATTGTTTGCCCTTCCTACCTGTATTAGTACCCTTTTTTTTGTACTGTTCATTTGGTTATTTTTGTTGCAGATTGTACCAATATTTGTTTTATATTTTTATACTTTACCTTATAAAATGTTTTTCTTTGCATGTTCATATAGGAATATGCTTTATCATAAATACAACCATAATCCATAAAGCTTTGATTAACACATAGAAAGACTGCAGTATTTTGCCAATTGACCATGGAGTTTTCCATGTGTCCACTTGAGAATAAAGAGGAAAAATGAGATGGTTTCTGTTTGCATAGAAAGTGATTGTACTTATTTTTGTTTTTGATATACAGTGAATGTAAATGAAGGTTTTATGTCTATTGAATAAATTTTTGAAAAAAAATCTTATTTTGCATAGGAAGCTGACTTGAATGATTTATTAGAAACATGGTATAACCATTCTGTGCCAGAGGCAAATACTCCTATCAGCTTAAATTTGGTAAGTATAGCTTTTACATAGAAAGTTGAATTGTAATTAAAATATTAAAAATAAGTCCCAACTTGATCATAAAACAGATCCACTCTGTAAAGAGTGGTGAATTTGGTTTTCCTATAAAATACTTTATAGATATGACTTTTTATAGATATGAGTAAATATGTTGATTGTTATTGTGGAGTATTCCATTGTGCTTATTCTCCCATATAATCTTGGAGGAGTAGCTGCTAATTACTCAGTAAATGGTTCATGTTTTTCCAGTTTTATTTTGAATCCCAAACTCTTAGAGATCTCTAAAAGATCTACAAGAGATGCCAATTGTGCAGGAAATAAGACACATTCAATGCAGTTTTTCTAACTAATTCTGATGAAATAGAAACTGTTTACAATCGCTCTTATAGTTCTTTTCAAAGGACACTTCTGAATAAATGAAAACCAACTTATTTGGTTGAATTGAATTGTACTACAGCATTACCTCTAATTTTGGGATCCAGGGCAAAGGTCCAAATGTTCATATTGGCCATATAAATAATACTACTCTAGTAAGTGTGCCATTATACTTCTTTAACCTATTTTAGTTTTAGGAAATACTCTGATACCAAAAATACAGTATTTTTGAATCAGGGAATTGGTGTCTCTTTTAAATGTGCTTCTTCCTCTTTACATTTCCTTTAATTTTAACAAATACCTATGATTTTATTGCCTTTTTATACACAAGCATACAACACATGTTACTGGTTATTACTTTTTGAACATAGTGCATTCCATACACTTAAAAGATAGGTCAATGATTATAGTTTTACACATATGGGTTTATACATTCTTCAATAAGAGATTATTATGTCCAAAGTTATGATAGTTATTAAATGATAAAAGTATTTTGAAAGGTACTTGGGATGCTATCTTTAACTGTAATCAGTCCAGAATAAAGTAATTTGGTCCTCCATAAATATATTTTATTCTTTCTGTCACTTTCTCTAGGGTTCTGAATGCAAAGATGAAATTTTTTCTTGGCTAACACATTGACACTGGGAGTTTTAATAAAATATTTTGAAATTGAAATTTATTTCAGCCAACCAGTTTACTAGATGAATTAGTATGAAATCAGATGTTTGTTTAGAAGCCTTCTACCCAGAAGTGATTCAGGATAACAAGATTTTATTATTGCAGATAAAACTCATAACTCATTTCCTTTTTTGAATTCTTTGAAGGAAAAAAAGTGGATAAAATATTTTTTAAAAATTGATTTAACACCGAGATGGACAACCTACAGTGTCAGAACCTCATTTGCAGCTCCCTTGTCTTCATTTTTTCAGCCCCTGAAGCTCCTCGTCATAATGGCTGAAAATTGGTTTCCTGCTATTTTGAGATAGAAGGCACATAAACTTATATTGAAGATTGCAAATAGGCACATTGACGATACAAACAAAAAAAATCTGCCTTTAGAATTCTCATTCTCTTTAAAATCTAATCTTGCTGTCATGTAGTTTTTGGTCCCATTGATTTTCCTCCCCCCAAAGATAAATACAATCATACTAGAAGATACTAGAAGATTGGGAGAGCAACAATCGTTTATTGCAAATTTAAACTTAACACAGCAGTGAATATAATTATTTCTTAATAAAGAAGCGACTTCCTTTAAGAAGATTTTAAGAGCCCCTTTCCAGAAACATTTTATAGTTACAAGCCTATTTACAATAAGTACTAAATAAGTATTAAATAAATAAATAAGTATTTACTAATAATTATAATGTGTATCTTAGGGGTTTTTTTACCATTTGTTGTTTTAACAACATTTCCTTCTTTGGCAATCCTATTACTCTTTCTTCTGCAAAACAAAAATAAAATCCTACATCATTTGAAAGAAAAAGCATAAAAGGATGAGATAGTCCTGTGTCGAAAAGAAGAGACAAATTCATTTAGAAAGGAATACATTTTAAAAAGCCAAATAAGCCTTGTTTCAAAAAATGAATTGACTGATCCTATTGGAAAAATAACAAGGTGTTTTCCAGTGAGCACATTCTGAAAACTCAACCATATATATTAATAGTGAGTGCAAAATGCCCACTATTTAAAAAAAATGCTTGCTAAATGATGTCTATTGATTGCAAGAAATTTATAAATGCTCTTTGAGAAATTACTATGTTGTGACTGGTCTAAAGGAGGCAATCTACTCGAATATATTTTCCAAGAATATATATTATCAGATTTGGAAATATATGTGCAAATTGTCTACTAAAAAGGGTCTTAATATTTAATAAAGTGACACTAGTTTATTCTTACACCTCTTTTGCTTATTAAAAAAATTCCATAGAATGTTTTTTCTCTATTTCAGAGAAGGGATTTTAGTAGCCTAGAAATCAAAACTATATTATTTTCATTGAATATATTTACAGATAGCCCTGTTGAAAGTATGTGAAAAATGTCTTTCCATCACATCTCAATGTCATTTGCATGATAATTGTTCAGCAGATTGAATGTTTGGCTTTTCAGTGATTATAAAATCTCTCTAATTTACATCTTGCCAAAAAACCCAGGAAAGGTCTTTGAGATCGAAAATAATCCAAAGTGCAAAAACCCAAGGATACAAGCCAAAATTGGTCAGATTAAACATACAGACAGTCCTCGACTTATTACCGATGATTTTATGAATTTGCCCTTATTGCAGTCTTAGAACAGGTGCTTTATGGTATGTAAACAATCACCAGCTGTTGTAAATGATTGTGTTGCCTCTAGTCATGTGAGCACATTTCAGGGGCTTGGCAATCTGTTCACATTTACAACCGGTTGTCAAGTACCCTGCAATCATCTGATTACTGCTTGCAATCTTCTCTGTCAACTTCCCCAGAAAGACAATGGGGAATTGGCAAGGAAGGCTGCAAGTGGAGAAGATGGAGAATTTGAGGTCTGTTATCTTGATGTACAGCAAAGTTTTCCCCTCCCCTCTGTGCAGGGAAGGAAAATTATCCTGTGTGGTGGAGGAACAGACCTCAAATCTGGTGAAAACACTAGCAAACATCAGCCTTCTGAGCTTTTCAAGAGCTGATGCTTGTTACCATTTTCCTCTGCCCAAATGCTAATGAAAACCAGTGTTCTGAAAAGCACATAAGGATGTAGTGTAGGTCAGGAAAGATGCATGGGTGTGCTCAAGTGGTTGCACAATGCAAGTGCCGAGGGGCTGGGGAGGTTGTGCAGGTGGGGAAGATTTGTCTGGGGAACTTGCAACCTTCCCTTCTGGCTTCCTCATTACAAACATTCTCTGCTAGTTTCCCATAAATAAAGACTTGTGGACAATCATGATTGAGTTTACAGTTCCTTTTGGCTTCCCTATTAACTTGTGGGAAGCTGTCAGGGAGCATTGGAAATGACAACCATCTGGCCATGGCAGTGTGGAGGCACTGTATCAGCCACAACTTCCCCAAATTCCATTACTATGGGAATAATGGGTCCCAATGTTCTATAAGTTAGCCCATTTGAGTTGCTTTGGCTCAAAAAATTGTGCACTATGGTGCACTTTTTTAAAAGCAGGCAAACAGACATTAAAATATAGATTGTGCTGTGCAGTAAAATTGAAAGTAAAGCTGCATGGCACTCGAGATCATTTCTGTTTTGAAATAAGGTTTCCCATTGCCCAACATTAGAATGAAAGTAGGACATTCGGAAATTGTAACTAATTAAATGAAATTTAGTTCTGTACTAAGCACCTGTGGCATTCAGGACTCTGCGTTGATCAAATCTTACTTCAGTCAGCTTTTGTATCAGTCTATCATGTTGTCTTGTTAAAAGTACAATATCATTCTGTACCTCATGTAATCCAATATCAGTCATTCCATAAATATAAATTATTTCTTGCAAACATAAGGGGAGAGGTAATAGGTCTTTTTCTCTTTTATCTCTGTAGTATTCATAACATATGCTTTATTTCTGTTGGTGGTGAAATATATCTTAATTTTTTTAACCTTCCCCCTTTCTAATTTTGGGTATTTTTAAAGGATTTCCCCCCCTCTTTTCCAGTTTCATTTGCTTTCTTTCTGCTTTTTTTGATTAAAACAAATGTACAGTTATTTGAATAAGTTTGGATATTCTTTGAGAAGCCTTGAAAGCTACTTTAAAAAAGCTCACAGTGACAAATAATTAATGTAGGTAATTCTTGATTTATGACCATTTGTTTAACTTTGGTTCAAAGTTATGATGGCCTCTGAAAAAATAACGACTGGTCCTCAAAGTGATGACAACCATGTTATCCCCCCACAGTCACATGATCATAATTCCGGCAGTTGGCAACCAACCTCCCTTTACAGCAGTTGTGATTTGTCATCTTCCCAGTTGGCTTCTGACAACCAAAATCAATTGGAGGAGCTGAATTTGCTTAACAATCATATGAATTGTTTAATGACCATAGCAGAAATGGTTGCAAAATTGAGTCTGGTCATGTGATGCCTTGCTTTACAATCGCACTGACTTCTGACAGAAATTCCGATACCCAATTGTGGTCATAAGTTGAAAACATCCTGTATGTCTTTTATATTAACTATTTTGTCACTATAAGATTTTTCAGAGTGAGAAACAGTAGAGAAAAGAATCATTTTCTGGCTACTAATTATATCCCAAATGAATGTGGACAACTTTTTTTTCAAACTCCTTTGTAAAAACCTAACTGTGTTTGGTTACCTCTCATTCCTTTTAAACAATTGTGCAGAACACATCTTATTTTAAAAACTGCTCATAAATGTTTCACAATGAGAACCATACATGGTAAGGGTCAGTAACTATAATCCCCAAAACTATACATGGTAAGAGTCAGTAACTATAATCCCATAATAAAGTTTTGTGAGAAATATCACATACCCCTTCCTTACTTCCACTTGTGTCACTCTAGAGGTAAGAAAATAGTAACTGGATATGTTTTTATTGTAGTGCACATCTCCATTAATTCATTTTCCAATAAAACTAGTTAATGATTAGAATAGTAGTATGTGTCAAAGAAACTAAAGGGATATTTTTTTAAAAAAATCTCAGGTGATTTCATTTTACATTTACTGTGCAAAGCTATTTTCTGATTCTCTTTTGCATTGATGCTGCCATAAATCTGTTTAGTATGTATGCAGAATAAACATTACTGCATTATTTCAGTAGAAATTAATGTTTTTTAATGACTACATCAGCATGGGTTGAATTATCTGATGCTTCTGATTACTAATATGTCCTCTCAAAGCAGATATAAAATTTAGTTGCTTATATAGACGGTATTACTTTATAATGATTTTGTCCTTTTGAATAATAATTTTGTATTTTTATTCTTTTCCTTGACTAGCATTCATACTTTATTACTCCTGATTTAACTGGATTACCAACTGTTCCTGAAAGTGTAAGTTTTGACTATATTTGCAATGTTTATTTAATAAATATCTTTAGAAATCTGAATACATATTGATTAAACTCCCTTTCATTAATATGGCTCTATTCACCTATATGAATTGCATAATTAAATAATAATGTAATAATGTTGGATTTTTGGGATAATGTGTGTATATGTATGGGCTGCAATGTGTGTGTGGTTATATCTTCATTTAGGCAGCTAATTTAGCTAAAATCAATTATATATATCTATAACTATTTAAAACTCAAATTTTAAATAGGATTTACTATGTATATATAATTGGAGTTTTAAATAGTTATAGATATATGGTAAATTCAAAAGCAAACAATCCAAGAGGCTCCTTTCTGAAAACATAAGATTATTCTTGAACATGTTTTCAAAATATGCAAATGATAATAGATAAATTTTAGTTAAATGCTTATTAAAGAAATACATTTCTTCAAAAAGATTATTTTCCCTTTTAACTAGGCAGAAATAAATGTATATATCATTCAGTTGCCTTTATTAATGTGTTAACAGACTTTATTCTTCATTAACTAGAGAAATCTTACTGAATATTTTGTTGCTGTGGATGTGAATAACATGCTTCAACTTTATGCCAGCATGTTGCATGAGAGACGCATCATTATTACCTCCAGCAAGCTAAGCACTGTGAGTACTTCACACATCTCTTTTCAAGTAGACTATATTGAGCATCTCACAAAAAAGGCTTGCATATCTCTCTAGATTTAAATATGTCCCTTATATACTTAAGAGACAATATCTTTTTAAAAGATGTCGTTTTAATCTGACTCTTGAAGCACGAAAGTCTGATTGATATAGGCTTACTCAAATACATTAAGGTGGGTTAATTACTTTTTGTTACCCAGGGATGAGAGTTCTTTAACCCTCTAGAATTAGATTTCTATGCCTTCCAACCTATAAAGAATTCTTAAGGGCTATTATAAGATCTTTGTTATTCACTTGTGGCTTATTCCATCGGACCTACTAGACAGGAATCAAAGGGCCATGATAATAGCTGCTATCCTAAATCTAGTAGTGTTTGGGGAAGATGTACTGTAATGACTCTGATTTTGAGCAGCTCTTCAGACTTATAATGACTTACTATTCCAAATAGTCTTTTTTTATTACACCAGTTTTATGCCTCTGCCTAAGCTGAAATGGCTTTCTTATGTCATTGCAGATGGAACCGAGATAAAGGGTGTGCTGTGTTTATCCATGCCTAAATCTTTTGATAGTCCTGTTTGTTTCAGCTTTTCCCTTGTGGTTTCCTTTATAACTCTAAATCCATCGCCATTAAGTTGAAAATAATGTTGCGTTCATGCCAGTGGGTATCATTTGTATCTGCATAGTGTCTGCTTAATTTAAGCCCATAAGTAAATTAATTAAACTCCTTCAAACCCTTCGCTTTACTTAATACTTTAATACCAGACTTTAACCATGCAAGCTTCTACCCTTAACATTAAGGTGGATGTGTTAACATTTTCAAAACTAATGCTCATTTGAAGACAAATCCATTACAAAAACACCATTAATTTTAATTAATTTTAAAATCTTTTTGAACGATTTGTTGGCTTTTTATTTGTGGAATACAAATCCTTAGATTTCTCCCCCCCCCCAAATACAAACAAGCTGCCATATCAGAGAATTGCATTATTGTAACTTGCTTCTTATAAATTGCTTAGAAGAGCTAATGATACCACTTTCTCTTCCTCATTCTTCTCTTCCTCCATTTTTTTTTAAAAGAAAAGGGAAATAAAGATCTCATTTAGTAGGGAGAGTAAAATCCCCACAAATTACAGTGTTGATGTTGAAAGAGACATTTTACTTCTCTTCAGCTAGCATGGCAAGAATTTATTTGAAAATGAATCAAATGCAAAACAGCATCTGCCATTCTGCAAGGTTTTTGCTAGAATTGTTAGTGTGTTCAATACAGCAACTTAATTATGTATAAGGTAACTTGCAATACCTGGCAGACTTTGAAAATAAGCTAAGCAAGCTCGCACTTGATCAGTATTGGTGTGGACTAGTCTAGGAACTTAAATAAATCTGGAAAATGTAATGGCAAAATGCTTTTCTTGTTCCTCAAAATACTATATGAGTATAATGGTTTCAATTTGAAGGCGTCTTAACCTTTTTGTTTCCTTGATCACTGGAGCAAGGTTTAAAAGCTTAAACTAGTAAGATCCTACAAATGTAACCACCTTGCAGTCAACAAGTCCAGTCTAACGATTATATTATTAACTTACATTAAAATAAGCTAATAGCTTTATACTCTGAAAGTTCATTCTAATGCCCCACTAACTCCAACAGATGCTGTGCGTGTAGCTGCCAATTCTCCAGTTCATGGAATTGATCTCCATCCCATTCCACCTCATAGAACTTTCTTTGACAGTGATCCTTACCTTGTTAGCCTTGGAAGGATAACAAGAGATACCCTGGGCAAAAGAAGAATGGACTCTCTTTTCCTGATCTCCAACCCCACGTATAACCCCCAAGATCAGATACGGGAGAAAGCCAAATCTTTTCATTCTCCTGATAAACTATGGATCAGATTTCAATGCAATTATTCTCAATTTTTAGAAAAGACAAAAGCAGAAAATTTCATTTTGAATATAAAATTGCACACTGAATTCTAAAGCTGTCAGTTATTTTTTAATATTTTGAATAGATTTTGGATATTTAAATGAGAGAAAGAGAATTAATTTTCCCCTTTATTTCCAAGTAAGACCAGGAGGTTGTTTTTTTTTTTTTTTTTAATGCAGGCTACTTTTCTGTAACAGTGTTATCAATTCCCTTCTTTTGTTGAAGGAGTTGTCCTATATCTTTGGAGGTTAACTTAATATCAAATGTTTATGACAGTTCATGCAGACTGACTTATGATGTCACCTCCATGTTATCAGCTCAATTTTGGTTCACTATCTAAGGGCAGTAGGACCAAGATCAAAACCCATAATTCATGCTCTCTCTCTTCCTTTTTTTTGGGGGGGGGTGGAGAAGAATGGAGATGGGAGTGCAAAATTGCTGTACTTTAATCTACATTCTTTACATCTGGGAACCCTGTGCCACTGAATTGTGATAATAAAGCTCTACTTGCTATGCATAACAGTTAAATAGAGGAATGTCTCTGAGGATTGTGTCGGTGGAAACAGATTTCACTTAAAAAATTATAAGAATTCCACTTCTGATCAGCTTCCTGGTTGTTGCTGAATTTGCATTTCTTACTTTATAATAGCATTTTAACTATGAATGAATGCATGTCATGTGCATATTTATTTCCAAAACATTTATTTTATAATGTTTTTACGTTGCCATCTCACATAACACAAGTACATACCCTGTGTCTGTGGTACTTCTTAAAGCTATGATATTATATATCATAACTTTAATATTTGTGGGTGTGAATTCAGTGTATTTTCCCTCTCTTTAAACTAGCGTGAGATGCTTTTTCAGAAAGGCACTGCTAGAGCATTGATTTTATGCCTGTTGTAGACAGGCCTGAGAAGTTTGGGCCCCAAGTGAACCTGCTGTGGTACTCTACCAGAACATCATGCTGTAGTCTTGTGTATTCAAAGCAAAGGAATAAATCATGATTTTACAACAGTGCATCAGTTGACTTATTGCTGTTTTGTGACCACTGAATGGGAAGGATTGCTGTTTAATGCCATGTCATTGGTTCTCAAGTCAGTCAGGCATGAAGGCTTGTCATATGCCTCTGTAATTGTACCTCTCCAGACTTACTCTAACTAGTCAGCTGGGGCTGTGCATTTTGTCTCTAACACCCAGCTGGCCTGTGCCTGACAGGAGCCTTCTCATCATCCTGTCAGTAATATGTTAAGTAGACGGTGTCTGTTTCAAGGCCTCTGTTAGAGAAGCAGGTGGAAAGGATGCTATGCTTTAATCTGCGGTGGAAATATTATCTCCCTTCCCCACCCTTTAAACATATATGCACACACACACAGCATTTCTTTATCTGAGAATGGACCAGTAAATCTCTAAGTACATTCTAACTGCATAATTTTGGATCTTCTCACAAATATATTTTCTTCTGAATAAAAGCAGCAGAAGGAAAAGGCTAAAAATAAGAAAGTAAAGTGATTCACTGCAGTTGGGAGGCTGTCCTTTCCCTAACCCAATGAATCAATTATGACCTCATGTTGTGTTAGATAACTCTTAACTACTTGATATCTGCAAATAAGAAACATTTCTTCTCATCAGTTCTTTTTCCTTTGACAGACATGGTATTTCATTTAATGTTGTCAAGGGAATTAAGAACATTTGAAAGAAGCAGAGCAACTGACCAGATGCTAGGGAATGCAAAGCAACCCCCATTTGTTATAATTGCATTAACCTTCAACATGCTCGTTTTCCAGCTGACTATAAAGAGATTCATGAATATTTGCCAGATCTGGATATCATAACTTAGTTACTTGTAAAATAATTTCTTGATGCTTTTTATCCCACTGGATATAAGCTTCATTTTGACCTTTTCGTCAAAATGCTGAATCATGCTTTTAAAACTTGATCAAATGCTTAGAAGCAAGACTGGGAGAGTGAGATAAGAAGGAGGAGAAGAAATGTTTGGTCCACAGTCAGCTACCTCTCAAGGATCACCGAGATATAATGCATTTTCAAGATCCAAAATGGTTCCCTCCTCTACTGTGGAGCCCAAAGATTGATCTTCCACTATTGGATTGTGAATTTGCCCAGTTCCATAAACACCCAGATCTTTTTTGGATCATGCATTATTGATAATTTGAAAAATATGGTTGACCCTCTTGCCAATGTGACTTTTTATGAGATTTCTTATCTGAGTGAGAATAAGCAGATCTAAGAAAAAGAAAATAACTCACTAATTTCTGCACCTCTTGTATCTTCAGTTTCTGTGTCACTTGAAGAAAAAAAGAATTAACATCAAGCCTGACAAAAAGCAAAGGGAGTTATATGCTACCTTGAAAGTACATGCCCACCCAGACCTTTGGGGAAGCAATGATGAATTGAAGACAGCTCCATTGAGAATGGAGCTTCTAGTCATGACAGAACAAGGAACCATAAGTGAACTGGATTCTTGGAATTCCTCTCCAGACATGGAGAGGACTTGGGATTGCCCACAAATCCTCTAGACAGCATCTCCTTGGAAGAAGGCCATAAGTGGTCTTTGGCAAGTTTAGATCTCTAGAAGCCAAAAGTTTGCCATCTTTGTCCATATCACGGTCAATACTTTCAAAAGGGTACTAATTTTGAATACTCCCTTTCTTAATTACTTCTGAAATTGCTTGTTATTGGGTATTTAGGGGATATTAAGAACCTTCAGAATGGCAAGTTTCATTGAACGAGTTTCCTTTAGTCCTTGGTAAGAGAAATTTTATGGAAGTTTAAGGATTTAAAAAATTCTTATTTTGGAATACAGCAAAAGGGTGTTTAGAATATTGATTTTGGAAAGTTATAAATGGACTAGGAGGCCATATGACTTTGAAGTAAGATTTTGAAATTAATTACAATAGTCCTTCTTGTAGATTGTTTAGAATTCTATTAAAATATATAAAAATTTTGAAATTAAGAATTAAGACCTTCCTGTGAAGAGGGATATCTGGAAAAATGCATTCAGAAATTACTCTTAAAATTGTCTGCTATCATAAAACAGTTAAGCT